AAAAAAATAAAATTCAAGCCGCATAGCGGCATCTAACGGCCCTCGCCGCACGCCGCGCAAAGGACCTTCCGCGGTGGCGCTGACGCGCCACTTTCCCTGCCCTGCCAGATGGAGCGACACTGTGCATTTTGAATTCTTATGATCCGTGATTGTGTGTCTCTAGTTGAAACGGTAAACCCCAGGTTCTCATTCTAACTCTTGTATCACTTGATTGGGGGGCGCTGATGCTGCATTTCCATGATTTTACAGTTCAGTTGTACTAACCGTGCGGTTGAACCATCAATTCAAATTTTTGTAGCAAATCGAAATACTTTATTTCTGGACTTTGTATGTGACAACATGGTGGCATTTAAGTTGTACAACAGCTCCCTACAATTAATTTTTTTAGGTGTTATACACCAAAGAACCACCAAATAAATACATTTATGCCTGAAAAAATAATCTTGTGGCAAAGTTTGGTTGAGGTTTGTGTTGTTATGTGGGCAAACTATGAGAACAAACAAACATAAAACCTAAATACGTGTATCCGCATGTAAACCTTCACTCCGCCTCTAGGGGGCGATTAATGGGCCAATGTTCATTTGTTCACACTGTCAATGTGACCTAGGCCCCGGAGTTGAACAACCGAGTCAAGTTTAGTGCACATCCGAGTTTGTGAATGTGCTCCAGTTTTGCACATACAATCTGTGTGTGTGTCCACACAGTCTCCATTGGATAATATTGGGAATCACACCTCTCTATGAAAATGACCACACTTTGGGGGGCTGTCACGCTCAAGACCGTTTGACTAAATTAAATCTGATTTGCCAACTATGATGTCTCCATTGTGTTGAGACCATGTGGACTGATTTTTCAAAACAACTTAGTGATAACGGGGCCGCAGGCTGGTTTGATGTTTGAGCGAGGTTGTACTTTTCCCAGAGATTTAATCAAATTTTCTCATAGACAACAGACAGGGGAGTGCTTTGTCGTTGCCACGGCACAGGGTAAAAAATTAACATCTTGTTGTCATTGTCTTTTTGATCCAGATGCCAACACAGAATTATGTGCAAAATTTAAAACATTTTGTGAAAACTAAATTTTATTAGGCCCTATGCAAAACGTTGACATGGTCTGTAGGGGCGTCATTAGCCATTTCAAATTTTCCACCTTTCAATTGACTAGACCTGGAGCTGAACAATGGAAGAAAATTGGTGCAAACCGGTTGGGTTTGTTACAAACGGAGCAAATTTACTTTTGTCAAAATTGGGAAAAAAATGTCACTCGGACATACAGTTTAACTGATCCTAAATTCTATATTCAATAATAGACTGGGACAGGGGTTTTAGACCATGTGTATGCGATTTTGAGACAATTCGGTGGAAACCGCCGAAGGAGGAGATAATTACCAAGCGAAGTTGTGAAAAATATCAATTTTTCATTTTTCATTTCCGTTGAATTAATGATGCTCCTGTTTGTCGGGGGCGGGAAGCCATAATAACTTTTTTTTTCATGTCTTGACTGCGAGGAACATGCGTGTCCCGAGTTTCGTTGGCTCTACGACAAACTTGACCTCCGACCCGCTCCATAGGAGCCAATGAAAACGGAAGTTTGTGGGGGCGCTGTTCGGGCATTTTTTTTGGCCCATAAAAATAAACACCAAAAAATAAATGTTTTCGCCCCGTTGTTCGTGCTAGTGCGGCGGCGTTTGGGCCGTTTCGGTGCCGTTCTTGAATTTTGGCAAAATATCACAACTTTTCATCAATATTAGGGGGTCAAATTAAGGTTCAAAGCGCAGAAGAACGGTCATTATTGTTTTGAGAGGTCCGTTATAAAAAATAATGACCGATAGAACGTTTTGAAATTACATTCAAATCAATGGAGCATTCTACTGCTGCTGTGAGGAGCCGTATAATAATGTGCAATTAATGATAATAGCTACTTCCGGGTTTGCCGCAAGTGCTTTTTTTGTGCATTAAAACACTATTTTTTTCATGAAAACGTAAACAAATAATTCTGACAACCTCCGTGCATGTGTATTAATAATATATAATATGTTCTCCCATTAACATTTAAATGTGTTACGGAAACATAGGTGTAGACCAATCAGAAAGGAAGGGGGAGGGAGCTTGCGTCGTTTTATTAAAATCAAGTACCTCTCTTTCTCTTTCTGACAAACTGCAGACAATCACTTTATTTTTATTTTTATTACTTTGTTGAATTTTAAAACATATCTTAAGTTTATATCATTTGAATGTTTATTCAAAGAATATAAAAAAAAGTTATATTCTTCATATTGCATATCATATTTTACATCAGATGTCTGATGTAAAATATGATATGCAATACAATAAACCTATGGTGTAGAATAGAATAGGCTCCGACATTCAGAATCAGAATATTGGTTTGATTTGTAACTTTGTTGTGTAATAAATAGCCCTGTGAGTCACTTGTTTACCTTGATCATATTTTGCAGTGGATTCATTTAATATAAAGTTATTGCAAGTTGTAATTTTCAACCCACACAAATGGAACTTTGATAAGATCCAATCTGTCTCTCTCTGATCTCTCATCTGTCTCTGTCTCTTGTCTCTCTTTTATCTCTGGTTTCTCTTCCATCTCTGGTCTCTCTTCTGTCTCTGGTCTCTCTTCTGTCTCTGGTCTCTCTCGTCTGTCTCTGATTTCTCTTCTGTCTCTGGTCTCTCTTCTTTCTCTGGTCTTTCTCCTGTCAAAATCCATCTAAAAATAGTTTGGTTCAATCTCTTGTTTTCCATAGGGTTTTGGCCTCTGTCACATCTTTGGATCAGCTTTTTCAGACAGAAAAGTTAAAAACAGAGGACCCCACCAACACTCACAGGGAGCCCAGATCTCACATACATATAAATATATATAGATTGGCTAGCTAAAATTTTGGGTAAGACCATTAACAAATTAAATGTATTCAATCAAATTTGAGCCCTCTCATCTGGTACTTCCCTGTGTAACCCATGGCAAACTATGATCTCTCCTCTCGCTGGTGGTGTTCCGTGTGTAGTAGGAGTTGATGGGTGAGGGCTGATGCTTGCTGGGAGTCTGTGGCCTAGGGAGAGAGTGCACCGTGACAACAGAAAGACACGATACAAGGACAGTGTTGTATGAGGCCTGGTGTTTGCTGCGGGAGAGAAGACTTGGCGCCACGGTGGCTGAGTGGATAGCACTCTCGCCTCTCAGCAAGAAGGTCCTGGGTTCGAATCCCGGCCGGACCAGGGCCTTTCTGAGTGGAGTTTGCATGTTCTCCCCGTGTCTGCGTAGGTTTCCTCCGGGTACTCCGGTTTCCCCTACCACTAAAAATATGTACAATAGGTCTGGCATGCGCCTCCTGTTCGGCGACCCCGCTCCCATCTCTGTGTGGAGTGAGAGGACAAGTGCCCAAAAAAATAAAATAACAATTGTAAACCACTTTGTGACTCTGGTCTGTGAAAGGCGGTATATAAATAAAGCTTACTTACTTACTGAGAAAGGAAACCTACTTTGTCATTCCACACACACACACACACACACACACACACACACACACACACACACACACGTTATCTAGTCTGCCCCGTACTTGTGTGTCAGACATAAATTGCACACAAGTCACACAAGGGACAGCACTTTGCATAATGACCGTGGAGCTGTGTTTGGGAGAGTGAAGCTCTGACCATCAAAGTTCTTTCTTCTATAAAGTTGTAAAGAAATTAGCGCTGTCAGTTAAACGTGTCAAATAACGGCCTTAACGTAAACCTATTTTTATAAACGTTAATTTTGGAATCTCTATTAATAAGAGCATGTATTATGACTGAAAGCCGTGTCAAAAAGGTGCGTGGTTCATTTTATGGTCTGACGAATGCCTGGCCGTGCGTCAGCTACTTTGGCTGCTCCAGGCTTCTACCAAGGGCACACATCTGACATCACCCCCGCGACCTCCTTCAACCGTTGCAAGGCTTTCCGCTTCAAAAGACAAGTGTGCTGTGTCGTGGACGTAAGGTACAGCAGGCGTTGGAGAAAACAAACGCAGTCACACTCACTGCTGATTACTGGACGTCCATCAGAAATCTAAACTATCTCCAGGTCACAGCACAAACGTTGAAGCCATAGTTTTTACACTGTAGTTATCGTCATAAAAAAAACAAGAGTGATTTTCTATTACATGTGGCTATCAATATCTTGATATTGTAAATCCAGACATTACTTGGTTTTAGAGTTTTTCTTTGCCTATGCAGGTTGGTCTAACATAAGGACAGTGGTGATGATCTAGGACACTCAACATTTATAGACATTTACCAAACGTTTATGGATATTAGTCATCTGCCCGTGTTGGACCAATGTCAATTCGTTTTTTTTGTTCTATCTGTTTGATTATCTGATTTGTGTTGGCAAATTTAACGGTTGTGTAAAGTCCTTTCGAGATTACTGTTTTCGGGCTCTACGAGAATAAATTTAATTGAATATTAGATGTATAATGAAGGACCAATCAAATGCCTTCATTCACAGGGGAAACCCCAGCTTATCGCAACTGTCTTGGCAACACGTCTTTTCCAGTTGCACCGTGAAGCTATTGCCACTGAACAAATGCCTATATAAGAAAATTGGCTCCAACTAGCTTTTGTTCAAATTGGCTTCTTCATCAAGGCTAAGGCAATGGTCAGTCCATTCCTAATACACAATTTAAGATCCAAAACTAAGCCCATTTCAACTTTGAAATGCAATATTTTGACTCTGGTGCATACTCCTCCTCTCAAACCTGTGACACGGAGGTAACAAAGCTAAAAGTGCAGCTGTAGAATGACTGGAGAGAGAAAGCAGCTGTGAATGTAAAATGTTTGCAGAAATGCAGCTATAGGACCCGACATGAAAGAGATAGGAACTAGCTGAACGAACGACCCCGGTGACTGACGCGTCGGCCAGAAAAAGCAGAGTAAACGAAGTGCAATGGAGAAGAGCTGACGGGGGAGACGTGAGGGAGACTATGGAGAAACAATTTTGGGACCGGGGAAACGATGACGGGAAATATAGGTCAGTGAAGTCAAAGGGATTGGGCTTTGAAGGGTGCTGGATCTTCCCTGTGTCTACTGAAAAACATGGGTTAGAAATGTTTGGGCACAATTAAAAATTAATAGATAATTCTGAAAGTAGCGAAATACTTTACTTTAGACTATACACATGATGATCAATTTGAATAACAGTCGAAACAGAGGTTATAGATTCTCTTGGTGGAAGCGTTTCCACTGGTTCTGTTTAACAAGTTTGAGGCAAGGAAAGTTGACATGGCACAATCTGTGACGTCAGAGAGGTGACTGACAGCGGGGAGAAACTGAACCAGTCTATGGTCAGCCCATGCAGCCTCTCTCCGAGTCCGGCTTATGGTCCATAGACAGTAAATAAGCATCTGCTTTTTTGTGCTAGCTTCATGTCAACTTGGATAACTTGGATAAAATACGGCACCTTGTATGCAGTTGTATGCACTGCTAAACAGAACTGTTTTTAACCTTGTTTTGAAGATTGTTAGAGGAGTAGCCTGTCTCAAATTTTCAGGAAGATTTCAAGATTTAAACAGGTGCTAACACATGGTAAATCCATGGTGGTGGTTTGTGAGTACTTTGAGTAGTTAATTCCTGGGTGTCTCTTTCTAGTCTCTGATCTCTCTCTCTCTCTCTTTCTAGTGTCTCTCTGGTCTTTCTCTCATCTCGGGTCTCTCTCTGGTCTGTCTCGCTCTAGTCTCTCTCTGGTCTCTCTCTAGTCTCAGGTCACTCTCAGGTCTCTTTCTCTAGTCTCTGGTCTCTCTCTCTGGTCTGTCTAGTCTCTCTCTCTCTCTCTGGTCTCTCTCTAGTCTTGGGGTCTATCTAGTCTCTCTCTCTCTCTCTCTCTCGGGTCTCTCTCTGGTCTGTCTGGTCTCTCTCTCGGGTCTGTCTGGTCTCTCTCTCTCTAGTCTCTCTCTGGTCTGTCTGTTCTCCCCCCATTTTTAGAACTACTTCAGTGGAGTGGATGCACATTCACGGCTGTCATTGTAGAGATAGCAGAAAATAAGCATATATATTTTAAGTCCAATGCCTGGTTTATCTTCTATGCATGAAATACAGCAGCAAACATGGACCCAATATGGAATTTTGAATGGTTTTTATTGGGTCACCTCCAAAAAGTTGTTGAAACGTTTTATATATTTGCAAAGTCAAAATCCAAACGCGTTTACATCACTAGTTTTCATTGCAGCTCTTCCCAAAACTTTGCAAGAAGAACTCTGTCACATGCAGCACTCCAAAACACATTTCAAAGCTTAAAACTGAGTAAAAATATGAATAAAAAAGACTAGAAATTGGCGTGTGAAGTGGCCCGGGTGTAAGAGTAAGCCAGCTTTTAAATCTTAAATTGACTTTTGGAGAAGCTGAAGGATTTGGGGTTATAAATAGCGGATTGAGGAAGAGGGAATAAAACGCTCCATTTGAGAAGCAGGATTTGTGTCACAAATGTAATTATGGGTGTCCAGCTCAGCGCCTGATAGCATTAAGCCCCCAGACTGAGAGAAAGAGAGAGGAGCGGTGTGTGAGGGCCGTGGAGGAATATTCAAAACAAGAACAGAGCTGGGAAAATACATTTGCATTTATCACAAGTGACTAGAGCTGGTTAAAAGACATATATACCACAAAATGCCTGAGATTTTAACCAATTCACAGTAATTTTCTTATAATGATAGCAAGAACTTTTAGCCAAACAGATTTGTCGTTTTTAAATGGGATCATAGACTGTATATTAGGAGTGGACTGACTAGTAGTATTAGCCTTAATGCGGAAGAAGCCGATTTGAAGATAAGCTAGCTGGAGCCAATTTCCTTTCTATGGGCATTTGTTTACACAGCGTTAGCATGTTGTTTTGCTAAAAAGGTTGCTAGGGCAAGCTGGAGTATTAATTGGTCAATGATTATAGCTCATATCTTGATTTACAAAGACAATATAAACACCTGGGTCACATAGAGCGTTATGCCATTGATATTTTTAAGTTCAAAATGCTGATTGTGACACAGCCACTGCGCTAGAGGAATTTACTTTTCAATGTAAGTCAATCTGAGCCAGAGCGAGTTGGAGCAAATCTTTGTCCATGAGCACTTCCCTATTGGATGGCATTGAGCTAGCAGGTTTGCATTGTCCATCTGTATAGAGTCTATGAAAAGGACAGCCTTTTCACAGCCATGCTGTTGTTAATGTTTTTGTAAATATGGCTACCAAAAGCTCACAGAGAAGGAGCAAAGAGGAGAGGGCTTAAATGACACCCAGTCTCTGACAAAATCAACTTCATATATTCAGATGTGTTGTAGATTAGCATAGAGAATAGCATACATTAGCAGATAGAAGCTAGCTATGTCGTCAATCCACAGTAAATCCGTTCTAATGTTGTTGGATTGGTTGAATGTGTGTTCCTGGTCCGTGAAGGACACTTACACTTGTGTTGTACCAGTGCTTAAATCAGTGATAACCCTCAGATTTCACTCTCCATTGGTGCGTGTGGCCCCAGATCGGCACGTTTAGGCCCGGATTGGCTCGGATTGCCGCGTCCTGTCCGTTCATCCATCCTCATACTGCACCATTATTACCATTAGCTGCACTGGGACGAGAAGACGACGTGACCAAACTGGTTTTTCTATTAAATCTACAAGGACACGGTCTCCTCTTGTGTGGTTTCTCACTTCAGTGCATTACAGCTGTGTTCCGAACAAAATAGAATAAAAACTGGGGCTAAATTTATCTTCACCAGAGGACGTAATATGCATGTGCTGTGTATGGAGATCTTTAAAGGTTCTCAAGATCATGTTTAAAGCACATTAGGCTGAATACTTTTTTTAGTCTTTCTCCAAGTTACAACCTATATTTCTTGCTCTTTCCACGTGGATAGAGCAAAAAACACTCTAATATTAGTAACTTTTGTTTAAAAGCTCCTGTCTCAGTCCTGTATGACACTCTAAAACAAAAGTGAAAAACAAAAGTAGAGAGAGACCAGAGAGAGACCAGAGAGAGACCAGAGCGAGACCAGAGCGAGACCAGAGCGAGAGAGCGAGACCAGAGCGAGACCCGAGAGAGACCCGAAGGAGACCCGAGATAGACCCGAAGGAGACCAGAGGGAGAGGGTCACCACCATAACATCACACTCAGCAGTTTTCTGTATTTTAAAACAAAAGTATCACCCATACATTTGTTTTGGTGATTTCTGAGGTGAAATAACTTTCTTTACCGTGTTTGCAGCCAGTCACATGTTTGTGCCTGTTCCTATTATCCTGGATGGACAGTGGATGTTATATACCGTCTCCTTCTCGGTATTTCCCTATAGCAGAACGGTGTTAAACATTGTCCCTCACGCAGCTCTACATATGTCTCTGAATAAAGCTTTCTTCTCGCGTCCGCTGTGAATGCGGGTCTTCGCCTCGAACGTCGCCTCAGGCCTGTTCCTGTTGACGAGCAGGTCCCAGACACCACTTTGATTAGTTCAACAAACACAAGGCAATGAGACGTCGTGGTGGAAACAGAGAGAGGTTTTATTCCCAGAGATGGCGACTGAACTGAAGCCAATTTGAAATCAAGGAAGAGTCACAAGTTTCTGTAACAAGGACATTCAGCTTCTATTTTTGTATTTGCCTGGTTGGTCTTTCTGGAGTCTCTCCCTCTGGTCTCTCTCTCTCTCTCTTGTCCCTCTCTGGTCTCTCTATCTGGTCGCTCTGGTTTATATCTAGTCTCTCTCTATCTCTGGTGTCTCTGGTGTCTCTGGTCTCTCTCTCTATCAGGTCTCTTTCTCTGGTCTCTCTCTCTGGTCCCTCTCTGGTCTCTCTCTGGTGTACTGGTTTCTCTCCCTCTCTCTGGTCTCTCTCTCTAGGCTCTCTCTGGGTTCTCGCATTGGTCTCTAACCCTGGTCTGTCTCTGGTCTCTCTAGTCTCTCGCATATATTCTCTGTCACATCTTTATACCAGCTTTTTCAGACAGAAAAGTATTGTTATGACTCAAAAAGTTAATTGGAAAATGATTTCTTGATCTAACCCTAACATTCAAATATGTGTCCATATATTTAGTAAATATATAAGTAAATGTTTTTGTTTTTTCATATTTTCCGAACTATATTTTACAATTACAATAGAACATGTGGAAAAAGGAGCTTTAAAAGACTTGTTGGTGAATATAGGACCATCTCTGTGTGGATAAAAGTCTAAAAACAGACCTCATTATTGTTTATTTTACTGCGAACCTTGGCGCTAACCTCGGCGTTAACTTGTGAAGGTCGAGAAGTGAATGCAACTTTCTCCTGTGATCCATTAGTCATGTTTTCGTTGCCTTGTTTTTCAAGGAGTAGTTTTAAATTGGACATGTGTGGGCGATTAGCCGCTTCAGGCCACATCTGGGACTGATCCAGGTGTTGATGTTTCGATACGGGACTCAGTTTGGAAGAAAGAGCCGCTGGATCAAAAAGCAAAATAACGTAAAATAGAGAAATGGTCAAAGTTACTCAATATATTTTCAAACAGCTACAGTAGAAAAGTGGATTCAAGACCGGCTTTAAATCTCAGCTTTTTATTGGACATATTTTTATATATTTACACACGTTGAGCGTGTATTAAGTTTTTAAACTTTTATTTATAATTGTTTTAGTATTCATATGTATTTACATTGACTTTTTTGGTAAACTTGTCACTGGGCAGCACTTGGTAAACCTATAAAATGTGCTAATTAATCGAGTTGATTGGTTGGCAACTGGAAATCTGGTGTATTTACTGTTCATTAATACACGCTGTTCCATCCAAATAAACAAATGAATACAACAAATACAAAACATTTGAGATAACTGCAAGCCTAACCCATTTGTCCATCACAATTTTTGGTTTTAAACTATAAATTTTTCCTCCAAAAATTAGAAAATCCTTCAAAAATAACTATGGTAGTAAAATCCATCGTACAGTATGTTTGGCCTCAGAGAACCACCTTCACTCCGCAAATCAGTTCTCAGCCCAAGAGTCGGATAGTGACTCACAGGGATGTGTTGTGTTTCTTCTGCTTGTTTCCCCCAGATGCAGCCAAAGGGGGCACTCTCGGGCCCACCCTGGGTTTGGTGAAGTCCAGTTCTCTGGAGAGTCTGCAGACGGCTATGGAGGAGGTTCGGCAGAGCTCCGGATTCCCCCAGGTGCCCTTTCACAAGCCGCGGGCGCACATGGTCCGAGGCCGCGGCTGCAACATGAGCTTCAGGCACGCCATCGACAAGTCCTACGAGGGCCCTTCAGAGGACGGTGAGGAACCAACCACAACTGTACAGGTTTTAGAAACATCCAGGATCTGTGTATTTGTGTACAGTTCCAAATTCACAACTGCAGTCTCTCAGCAGTGCTCTTATTTCCTTCTTTCTCTGTGCGCAACAATGACACTGAAATTTCTCCACTGTGTGACGAATAAAGGAATATCTTATCTTATCAGTCGTCTCGGAGGACTTAACACAGTTATCAATTCACCAACAACAGATCTCTCTGATCTGTTGTTGGTGAATTGATAACTGTGTTAAACGATCTTTAAAGTGCTTTAAAGTGTAAACACCATCTCTTTGGTCTCTTTCATTTGACTCTCTGGTCTCTCTCGCTCTCTGAGTAATGAATGATTTAGCTGCTCTCAAATGTGCACATCATCACATCATTCAAGGCATAGGTTTAGGTTTCACAGATATAGGCTGTTGGCTGTTGGGGGATGGAGAATTCTGATCAGGGTCAGAAGAGGAGTTTGTCTTCACACATACAGTGAATGACAATATTTGATCATTTATAATCCTCTTATTGCTGTCTTCTGCTGTTACAGATGACGACTTGTCGGACCACAGCTCTGGACACGAGACTCCGGCCAGCACCTCGTCTCGTAACGATTTGGACGCAGACGAAAGCAACGGCAAGAAGAATAAGAAAACGAAAGGAAAGAAGAAAGATAAGAAAATGAAGGTCAAGAAGGAGCCAGTGGAAGAGGTGGACCGCAAGAAGAAGAAAGGGTTCGGGCTCTTGAGGTAGGGATCGAATGCAAGAATGGAACACAGAGATCGAGATGAGAGAGCCAAGCAGAGACCGAGGCAGAGGCCGAGCTGAGGCAGAGACCATTTCATTACTTCTATTTATTTTAAACCAGTACAATCAGCTCATCCCATTTAAATACAGACTCTGTCCTTCTCTCTGTCTCCTCTCTTTCTCCCTGCGTCCTCCCTCTCTCCTGCCTCCTCCCTCTCTCCTGCCTCCTTCCTCTCTCCCTACCTCCTCCCTCTCGCCCTGCCTCCTCCCTCTTTCCTGCCTCCTTCCTCTCTCCCTACCTCCTCCCTCTCTCCCTGCCTTCTCCCCCTCCCTCTCTCACTATGTCGCCCCTCTCCCCGCCTCCTCCTTCCTCTCCCTGCCTCCTCTCTTTTCCTACCTCCTTTCTCTCTCCCTACCTTCTCTCTCTCTCTCTGCCTCCTTCCTCTCTCCCTCCCTGCCTCCTCTCTCTCCCTTCCTCCTCTCTCTCCCTGCCTCCTCTCTCTCCCTGCCTCCTCTCTCTCGCCTTGTCTCCATCCTCGCTCCCTACCTCTTTCCTCTTTCCCTGCCTCCTGCCTCTCTTCCTGCCTCCTCCCCTTCTCCCTGCCTCCTCCCTCTCTCCCTACCTCGTCTCTCTTTCCCTGCCTCCTTCATCACTTTCTACCTCCTTCCTCTCTCCTTGCCTCCTTCCTCTCTCTCCGGGCGGCACGGTGGCTGAGTGGATAGCACTCTCGCCTCTCAGCAAGAAGGTCCTGGGTTCGAATCCCGGTTGGACCAGGGCCTTTCTGAGTGGAGTTTGCATGTTCTCCCCGTGTCTGCGTAGGTTTCCTCCGGGTACTCTGGTTTCCCCTACCACAAAAAATATGTACAATAGGTCTGGCATGCGCCTCCTGTTTGGCGACCCCGCTCCCATCTCTGTGTGGAGTGAGAGGACAAATGCCCAAAAAATAACAATTGTAAACCGCTTTGTGACTCTGGTCTGTGAAAGGCGGTATATAAATAAAGATTACTTAGTTACTTACTTACTCTCCCTGCCTCCTCTCTCTCCCCACCCCCCTCGCTCCCTACTTCCTCTCTCTCTCTCTACTGCCTTTCTCTCTCCCTACCTCCTCTCTCTCTCCCTGCCACCTTCCTCTCTCTCTACCTCCTCCCTCTCTCCCTGCCTCCTTCCTCTCTCCCTACCTTCTTTTTCTCTCCCTGCCTCCTCCCTCTCATCTGCCTCCTTCCTCTCTCCAAACCTCCTCTCTCTCTGCCCCCCGCTCTCCCTACCTCCTCCCTCTCTCCCTGCCTCCTCCCTCTCCCCCTCCCTCTCCCTTATCCCTCTCCCTGCCTCCTCAATCTCTCCCTGCCTCCTCCCTCTCTCCCTGCCTCCTCCCTCTCCCCCTCCCTCTCCCTATCCCTTTCCCTGCCTCCTCTCTCTCTCAGTACCTCCTCCCTCTCTCCCTGCCTCCTCCCCCACTCCCTGCCTCCCCCCTCGGCTCCTCAGCCTGAATCGCCCTTGACATTGGGCCCGATTGCTTTCGCTATCTTCTCATCTGTGCTATCGCAGCGCAGCCTAATTGAATCTCAAGTGTTGGAACGAGAACCACACTGTGTCTGTGTCTCTGTGTCGGTGTCCATAGATAAGAACACGTCGGACAGCACTGGACCTCCACGATCACAGCTCTGAAGATAACACTGACGGCATGTTTACATTGAGAGCTGCGTTAGAGCTGGATTAGAGCTGATTCACTCCAGGTGTAGTTCTGGGTCAATAGTGATTCCAAACCTGCTCCAGGACGAGTTCAGGTTATGTCAAAGGAGAGGTTTCTTGAAAATCGACTCATTTCACCACGTTCGACATTGTTAGACACCTGATCAAAAACGGATTTTAATTTTATCTCCATCCGTGCAATATCAGGAACTTTTCGCACAAACGTGTAGCCCTGCCCCTTCTTTTCTCCTCTCTCTCATCTCTCTTCTCATTCGCCTGTCCTCTCTCCTCTCCTCCTCTCTCTTCTCTCCTCTGTCACTTCTCTCCTCTTTCCTCCCCATCTTCTCTGCTCCTCTCTCTTCTCTCTCCTCTCTCTTCTTTGATCTTCTCTCCTCTCTCTTCTCTTCTCTCCTCTCCTCTCTCATATTTCTCTTCTCTCATCTCTTCCGCTCCCCTCTATCTCCTCTCTTCCCCCTCCTTTCTCTTTGCCCTTTATCCAAATGACTTGATTTTTCCTGAACTTGAAACATGACTTCATTAGCAGACGGAGAACACACTCGTTATTAATTGCTCCACTCAAATGTTGTTTCAGTCCAGAGCATTCAGCAAAAGGTCAAGATATGAACCAAGGCCAAGATAAACCTGCTTTAGACCTTCTTTGGGTTGGGTTGGACCTGCTGTAGACCTGATTCAACCCAGCTTTAGTCTCTGCTGTAGACCTGCTGTAGACCTTCTGTAGACTAGCTGGCCTAGTTCTGCTAATGGCAAGTAATGGAAATCCTTTGCAATAACTTGGTCTCTGCTTCTCGATTGGTAATGACTGAGACGTACAGCCCAGATATCAGATTTAAAAAATAATCTTTAAAAACAGTAGTTCTATCAGGATTCCCCAGCTCTTTAATAACAGGCTCTGCTACTCCTCTCAGCCTCTTGACAGCAATGTTTTCAATCTCTTTTTAACTTTTGGAGCTAATAAAAGTAAGAGACTTATTCATATCCAGTCACTTTCTCTTGCTCTACCCTTTTCCTACTTGACAACCTTCACAAAAACGCTTTCCAAACATTTGTACGGCGCCAAATTGGCCCTATGATGAAACACATTTTGCTTATGGCAAGGCAAGTTTATTTGTATAGCACAGTTTATGCACAAGGCAACTCAAAGTGACATTAAAATCATCACAAGGCAATCCAATCTGGTTTAGACCTGCTTTAAGGTGCATTCAGACCGCAAACGCTCAAACGCTGAAGCCCCGCTCACCAGAGCCGGCCGGCTCTGATGCTAACAGAGCTATGCTAGTGGCTTCTTGTGTACAGATCTTCTCCAATATGCAGCTTTGCAGCGTGTCTTTGAACAGAGACTTTCCACGGGCTTTATACAACAGTAGTATGTGTTCACGGAGGTGCGCCATACGTGTTTTCATATTATTAAACGGTATTTCCGCATCGACGAACACACTCGAAGCAGTTGCATAAGGTCACGGGAGCATGACAACGCATATTTTCACAAGCACACAGTCCCCCATTTGTCAACCCTGGTTTGAGTTCTGGTGAAGCCTGGTGTGGGTCCTGTTTTGGCTGTTTACGAGTATTTTCAGTCTGCTCGCTCAGTCCGCTAATGTCCCCGTGACCACTTTGCTGCTCTCTGATTGGTTGTCGCACGAACGTCCCAAGGAAAGAATGAGCAGAATCCATCTCCTGTGGGCGTCAATTTTTCGCTCCTGCTCCTCCCCTTTTACTTTCCCGCCAAGTCTGCGCGTGTCTACTGAACAGTCCGTCCGTGCGTGCCGAGAGGTCCGTGTGCGTTGTGACGCTGCAACGCGCGTCACCATAGACTTTGCATTGAAACCCGACGCAACGCATGATCCGGTCTGAACACACCTTAAGTCTATGCTGTTGTCCTGTTTTAGACATTCTCTTGGCCTGATTTAGTCTGCTTGTAGTCATGCTTTAGACCTGCTGTCAGTGGCGTTCTAAGGGTACCCTGGGGCCCCAGGCAACACCCTCGGTGTTTATATAGTCTATTTAAACACTGAGGGCCAAGTGAAAGATCAGGCTCTTAGCTTTAATCTGTAAAAAATGGCTTGTTTTACCTGTACTGTTCTTGAGCAATCTGTCATAGAATATAATGTATATAATTTAATCCAAACATAGGTCTCACTCGGATTGAAACCCGGGTTGTTGTGGCGCAAGCGCTGCAACTTGACCACTACACCGCTATGTCATAATGCACTTTTTTTAAGTGTATTATGACATATATTACATGTATTATGTAAAGGGTTTTTAACTGTTAATAAAAAACGTGGCAAGTTTTGTCACTGCAGGTAGCTGTTATAGCCAGTACAAGTCGACCGCTTGTGTCAAATCAGTCGGCCCTCGGGGGCCTCCTGCCGGTTTGGGGGCCCCAGACAGCTGCCTGCCTTGCCTAATGGCAAGGGACGCCTCTGCCTGCCCTGCCTGGCAGGGCAGGAGGCCGGTCAGACCTGGCAGGCCCAAGCGTGTAGTGAGGGTTTGCTGGGAACGTCTTGGTGAGCCCCCTGTCAGACGGACTTTCAACTCACACCTCCGGGAGAGCTTCTCCCAGGTCCCGGCAGAGGAGGGGGACATCGAGTCCGAGTGGACCATGTTCTCTTCCTCTATCGCCAATGCGGCGGCTCGTAGCTGTGGTCGCAAGGTCTCTGGTGCTGGTCCCGGCGGCAATCCCCGAACCCGGTGGTGGACACCGGCAGTAAGGGATGCCGTCAGGCTGAAGAAGGAGTCCTATCGAGCAATGATGGTTCGTGGGACTCCTGAGGCAGCTGTCCAGTACCGGCAGGCCAAACGTGCCGCGGCCCGGGCTGTTGCAGAGGCAAAAACCCGGGACTGGGAGGAGTTCGGAGAGTCCATGGAGCATGACTATCGGTCGGCCTCGAAGAGGTTCTGGCAAACCGTCCGGCGCCTCAGGAGGGGGAAGCAGTTCTTTGCCAACACCGTGTATGGTGCGGGTGGAGGGCTGCTGACCTCGACTGGGGATATTGTCGGGCGGTGGAAGGAATACTTCGAGGTTCTCCTCAATCCCCCCGTCACGTCCCCCGTCCAGGAGGCAGAGGCTGAGGATGTTGGGGCGGATACTTCCATCTCCCTGGCCGAGGTCACCAAGGTGGTTGGCAGCCTCCATGGTGGCAAGGCGCCGGGAGTGGATGAGATCCGTCCTGACTATCTAAAGTCTCTGGATGTTGTAGGACTGTCTTGGCTGACACGTCTCTGCAACATCGCGTGGCGATCGGGGGCGGTGCCAATGGAGTGGCAGACCGGGGTGGTGGTCCCTCTCTACAA